AGGGTAAACCGAGACTTGAAGAAAAACTAGACAAGCAAATCCAAAAGAAATCTACGGTCAAGAACCTCTTCAACTGAGTGTGGGGGTGCACACCCATAATCCCAGCACTCCAGAGGTAAAGGCAGGAGGATTCCAAGTTCCACTCCAGCCAAGGGCGGTCTAGGCCATGTCTTTTCACGGAAATAGATTTAATTTTCTATCATAGGTTTATTGGGTGTACTCTCCTTATTCATATAGACTCACCCAATTCCTGTTTGGTACAAGAAACATTAAGTGTCATAGGTAAATAGAATTATGATTTAGCACTCCGACTCTAAATTATTATATATGTGTGCATAAGTTTGTGACTATGTGTTTACTAGCTTTAGCAGAAAATAAGAGAACTGATCACTTTATGTTCTGTAACAGCTTTGTGATGACATAAGGCTTAGTAACGATCAGTTTAACAGCCTGATTCATAAATTGAAAGCAAACCAGAGGTCCACGGGTTGAGGGGTCAGAGTTGTCATAATTGTATTTTTAAAATATTTTTTTCGATATCTAAATATGGAAGGAAACGGGAAGAGGGACGCACTACTGAAATGAGTAGTGAGGAAACAAAGCAAGAAGCGGAGGCACTGATTGGGTCTAGTGAATAACCAAGCAAGAAGCAAATTCCTTTTCAAATGACACTATGATTTTTAATGTATTTATCCTCAGCTCCCCTTAATTAAAGGTGAAATGGTACCCATGAAAAGCTTTTTTATCTCATAGATGCTATTATGCCTCAAAGAGGATAGTCTTATAGGCCTGGGGGTCAGTCTGTACTTATCTCAACTTCATATACAGATGTTCTCAGTGGTGCAGCTTTAGTTACACTTGACTAGAGTTCCCGGAAGTCACATTAGGAGTTTCATTATTTACTCCACACCAGTTAACAGCACTCAGTGTATTTTTGGCTATGATAAAGTCTTTAAAAAATTTTTTATTATTTTTATTTTATGTGTATGAGTGTACTGCCTGCATGTATGTGAGTGCACCCACGTCGTGCAATGCTGAGGAGGTCAGAAGAGGGCTTCGGACTCCCCTGGAACTGGAGTTAAGGATGGTTTGTAGCTGCCATGTGGGTGCTGGGAATTGAACCCAAGTCCTCTCCAAGAGCAGTCAGTACTCTTTAACTGCTGAGCCATCTCTCCAGCCCCCTTATATAGTCTTTCTATTGTACAAAACTAATCACTGTACCACCCTGCATTGACTGCTCACAAAATTTAAAGTCAGATTTGTATTTAATTTTTTGATAGTATTAAAATATTACTTTGTAAGTTGGATGTGGTGGCGCACACCTTTAATCTCAACACTTGGGAGGAAGAGGCAGGCAGATTTCTGTGAGATTGAAGCCAGCCTGGTCTACATAGTGAGTTCTAGGCTAGCTGTGGCTATAGGGAGACCCTGTCCCCTGCCCCCTGCCCAAAACCCCAAATCAAAACAAAACAACAACAAAAAAACTACTTTATAAACTGCCCACTTTTAATCCCAAGACTCAGGAAGCTGAGGCAGGAAGATCATGAATTCAAGCCCAGTTTGGGCTACACATCAAGACAAAACAAAACCCTACTTTCTAGTTAAACATATTTGTAAAATAAAAAGGTTACAAAAATTTTTGAAAATCATTTTTAGGGCTGGGGATGCAGCTCAGTGGCAAAACACTTGGCTACCATTCCCCTCCCCGACCCCAAATAATAAATTTCAAGTGCACCACCCCAGACAGTTAACCTACTATGCTAAGTATCTCCGACTTTAACCTCACCCGTGGAAGGCTGATTTCCCTCCAAAACCATCTTTAGCTACAATAAAATAAAAACTGTTTCACTGCCAATGATGCACTGAGTATTAATTCTAGATTTCAACTCCCAATTCCAGTATTAAGAAGATTCACAATACCTGCTGCTCCAACACTGGGACTTCGGATTTTGCAGTTTTATGAAAGTTGAGATCTGCCTTGGCTAGGAAGTTCCAATTTTATTTTCCCCTAATTTCTAATTAAACAGAACCCAAACAACTCTGTTTCAGTGAATTCATTCCATGTTTCGCTGGGAAAAGCATAGCTGTGAGGTTGCTACAACAACTCTCACGCCCTCTGCTCCACCCACACAAAGTCAGTGGCCTTGGCAAGCCGCAGGTAGTGTGTGAGTGAAGATTTGTTTTCAGCTCAGTAGCTATGATGGAGTAAGAAGACCATTCTTTGCTGTTTCTTAGCAATAAATGTCACCTCAACAAACTCCAAATGTCACCTCACAAAACAAACTCCAGACCAACTTGCAGAGTGATTATTTTCGCACCATGGTACAACTGTATTCTTTACTTCCTCCTTTTAGAAACCTGTGACAGGAAACAAGCCAAAGTCATTTCCACCAGAGAAAAAGAAAAATAAGTAAACATAGAACATTCCAACTTATTTACTAGGAATATGTCCAGATGTTTGCTTTTAGACTTTAACCCATGTAAATTTGTGTTTTACATTTTCTTTTTCTCCTCAGATTCAAAGAGTAGCTTTTCTAAATGCTAAGCCTTTAGCTCAGTGCTTTAAGTTATTCCATTTACTCCTGACAACCTTGTGAATAGGTAGAAGACCCACCTTACAGAAGAAACTGAGGCTCTAAGCTTACACAAGCTTCTAAACAGTGAAGAAAGAATCTGAACCCAAGTCTTTTCACCCTGAAACCTTATGCTTTTACCATACTATACCAATCTTATAAAAAAATTCTCAATTCTTAGTTGAAATATTCAGGTATTTCTAAAGTGACTAAAACCTTTTTATGGTACTTTTAGCAATATATTTTTCTTCTTTTTTTATTCTGTACTGGGAATTGAATCCAGAGCCTTAGTAAAGAGTAGGCAAATGTTTAATCACTGAGCTAAACTTCAGCCCTACATTTTCATACATAATGGCTTTGCTGATAAATGAAGGCACAGAAATGAAAGGCCTGCATTATGGTCCAGGTAGGGATTTTTTTTTTCCCCCTTCTTTCTAAATTTCCTCCAGGAGGAAAAAGTAGAAAACAGGTGAGATGACAGAATGGAGCTTAGATGGAGTACCTATCCTATGCGACATTTCCAGGGTGGAGGAGCTGATGAGGTAGGCAGAGCAAGAGTAAACCCAGGTGCAGTATATACATGATTTAAATCAGGAAAGAAACTCTGCTCTGCTATTCATTATTTTAAATACAATTCCCTGAACTAATTTGCCCATTTTTAACCATGTCCAGCAGGGAATGGTCTTCTCACATGTCACTTTCACCATTGGAATGAATCAAAGTTCTCCCCACAAGGCCCACAGTTACCTATTTTCTGCTATACATATTTTTTGAGACTTCTTAGGAAAAAATATGGTCTTAAAACTGATTTTCTTGCATGGTGGTGCATGTTTATGATTCCAGCACAGCCAAACAAACAAAAATTGCTTTAGCTCTCTGGGCTCCTGACCTAAAGTTTTTGCATACCTACAGCTTGGATAGTCTCTACCCACTGGGAATTCAGGTAACACTGTTCCACTGTCCCTTTGTGATTGCCTCTTTCACTGCTACCCTAATTCTGAGTTTTGTCTTTCTTACAGCTTTCTTATCTATCCTCTATTTATATATACAATTTATTATTTTTATTTTATGTGTATGAGTGTATTGCCTGCATGTATGTGAGTGCACCAGTGTCATGCAATGCCGTAGAGGTCAGAGACAGGCATCAACTTCCCCTGGAACTGGAGTTAAGGGTGGTTTGTAGCCACCATGTGGGTGCTGGGAATCATACCCAGGTCCTCTGCAAGATCAGTCAGTGCTCTTAACTGCTGAGCCATCTCTCCAGTCCCCTAGTCTCTATTTCTATTTCAGTTGATGATAAGAATTTTCTAGTTGTTGCAAAAGATTTGAGTAAGAAGACAAGTATTCAGATGACATGTACTAATTTCTATAGGCTTCAAGAAAGATCAACACGTGTAAATTTATTATAAAACATGTATACACAAAGAAATTCATTGTGACACCACTGATTTTAAAGTATAAAAATAAATATCACATTTACTTTTTTTGCTGGATGAAATTAAATGCTTAACTTGTTATACTTTCTTATAAAAATGGATCACTTTTCTGGGTCCTAGAAATTCACATTGTCAATTTTCATTGTCACATTATATACAATGCAAATGAAATTCAGCAAAAATTATAGAAGAGTAAAATAAAACCAGTTATTAGTGTTAAAAAGGAAACTAGATTTGTAAGAGAGAATGGGATAGCAGTTGGAGGTTTCTATAGCTGAATTACTGCCATCTGAAAATTAAGCAGTTATGCATTCCTAGTATAGATAACACATAAAACCTGGGTTAAAGGCATCTTCACAAAATTGGGGAATTATTGAGCTTTTCTTTTTTAAAAATTAAAAAAATTATTTAGCGGGGTGTGGTGGCTTACTAATCGCAGCACTAGGGAGGCAGAGGCAGGAGGCTCTCTGTGAGTTCAAGGCTCAAGGCCAGCCTGGTCTACATAGCGAGTTCCAGGGCAGCTGGGGCTACAGGGGGAGCCTGTCTCAAAAATACATGTATATTTTATTACTTTTTAAATTTTGTTTCTGAGTGTATTGCCTCCAAGTGTATAAATGAACTGATGTCATGCAGTGCCTGCAGAGTTCAGAAGAAGGTGTCAGATCTCCTAGAACTGGAGTTATGGACTGTTGTTAGCCACCCATGTGGGTGCTGGGAATCAGACCCAGGTCCTCTGCAAGAGCAGTCAGTGCTCTTAACTGCTGACCCATCTCTCCAGCCCTACTTTACTTTTTCTAAACAAAACAAAATAAAACCAAAAATCAACCAAACAAACAAAATACTGCAAAGCTGGGGCTGGAGAGATGGCTCATGTGGTTAAGAGCACTGGTTGCTCTTATAGAGGACCCGGGTTCAGTTCTCAGCACCCACAGAGCACTAACAACCATCTGTAACTCTAGTTCCAGGAGATCTGACACCTTCTTCTGACCTCAATGGGCAATGAACAACACAAGTGCACTTACATCGTCATGCAGGCAACACACTCATACACAAAGAAAAAAAAAAAAAAAAAAAAATATTTTAAAAAATACTGCAGAGCTTTAAAACAAGACAGGGAGGTAGCTCTAGGAAAGCTAAAACACCTTTTGGGATTCTGTTCATTTAACATCGATCCTTTTTAAAAATGTATTTATTATTTTTACTTTACAAGTATACTACTTGCAAGTAGGTAAGTGTGCCTGTTTTGTGCAATGCCCACAGAGGTCAGAAGAGGGCATCAAATCCCTTGGAATTGGAGTTACAGACAGCTGTAGGCCAGCCACGTGGGTTCTGGGAACCAAATTCAGGTCCTCTGCAAGAGCAGCCAGTCCTCTTAAGCACTGAGCCATCTCTCCAGCCCTTTAACATTGATCTTAAGGTCACAAGCCTAGTAAATACAGGAGTGGAATAGTACTTATGTTTCAGAGTTATCTTGATTTTGAATATTTTCAATTCAATACAACTTCTTAGATTTACCTTGAGACCTGCTGTGAATGTTTCAAAAACTTTATAAGGTTAAGGGGTTTTGGTCAATAACAACAATAAAAAGCAATCATTTATTATTTTGGAACTCTTAGTATATCATTAGATACTAATCTGAAAATATACAACTTCACAATTTGTAGATGCCAGAAACATAATTCAAAATTTCACAAAAGCATTTTAAATAGAAACTACTTTAGACAATGTAAGATCGCACTGACAATGCTCATTTAAGTTGACAGTTTTGCTATTGTGCTACTGTTCCCACGTGATATCATCTCTTCTCAATTTGACTTGAAGGTTATGAACTTGCATTGGATGAAAGTTGCTGCTTTTCTGAGAAGGGTTAGTTTCATTTAGACATCTCCTAGGGCTATTTTTTATGTTCTTGGATCCTTTAGGGTTGCTGTGTTCTTGATGAATACCTGAAGATAAGTTCTGAAACTTTTGCTGGAGTTTACGGACCTGGGGAGAGAAAGGAGAGGAGAGAGAGGAGACGGGGGTGGGGTGGGGGTGGATTATGGATTATATACCCCCAAACAGATGACTGGATTAATGACTTAGAGATTACATTAAATATAAAAAGTTCAATTCAGCAAGTTATTCACTGCCTACTACATGTCAAAGAAGTTACTTTATCTCCTTTAGAAGAGTGTGCTAACAGAGTAAACAGAATTAAAGTTTTTCAGACTCACAGAGATTCACCTGCTGCTGCCTCCCAAATCCTGGGATTAAAGGTATGTGCCACCACACTCAACTAAATAAAGTAATTCTTAATGACTAGCCACAACACATAACACATTTCTTCAAAGTTCAATCCATTATTTAGCCTACTTCACTCATGCATAAGTCTAATTTGTAGAACTGATCCTGGTGAGCACCTGGTTGTTTATTTACCTAAGAGGCAATTTTTATTATAGATTAAATTTAGCATGATAAAATGCTTGAAAATGTATTCTACTATAGTTATTAAGGAACATAAATCCATGACTTATAAAATATAATATGCACATATTTTGTAAGTTCTAAAATTATAATCATTCTTCTATTATAAGTTTCTTCTATGCAATTCCAAGAAAGTGCTCAAGTTGTACACTCTTTACCCCAATACAGGCATACAAAAACTTTTACTTGCTACAGTCCTAAAAGCCAGTAAAACAAAAATATATTTCTTTATTCTTAGACATAAGTTTAACAAATACAGTGACATTCTGAGTTTTTTCGATAACTTTCCTATAAAAAAGTATATGTGTGTGTGGGAGGGGCTATATGTAGGATTAATATATCTCCAGCTTATCCGAATGATGACTATATCCTTAGGGAGAAAACTAGATAATATGTTTTGAGGTTTCCTGAAAAGACTCTCGCCTGCCTGAGCAGTGTAATAAATGCTGAAAGTTCAACTCTGGACGGAGTCTTGGAATGAAATATCTTCATGATTGTTCTGTTAAAATATTAAAGGTTATGCCATTCTTAGTTATTAAGGTACAAGTAAAGAATTTTCCTCCATATCTCTATCCTACCAACTATAGGTGGCAAAGCACAATTCCCCAGGGAACAGAACACAATCCAGTTTGTTTTGGGAGATGGGGAAAAAGTAGTTCTACCTTCGGTTCCAAGTTTCTATATGGTACTGCCTTAGGGGCTGTGGACAGACAAAAGGGGCATCCTTAGGCATTAGGAGGGAGAGGACTAGAGAAAAGAATGCGGAAAGGCAACTGGAAGACTGCCAAGACAACACCCTACTTCACAGTTTTCCCAAGGCCTGAATCTGTAGCTGAATTTTCTTGCTCCCCTTTTTTTAAATTGTGTGAGAGAATTATGTAGGAGACCTCTGATACTGCAATGCAGCAATGGCTTTCTGTAAGAGGCTGAAGTGACTCCTGAGTATCTCTTTACTACCCCAGATACACAGCCTTCAAAGTTGGAAGGCCACACAGAAATGTGACACCACATCCCTATACATTTTTAGTTGTTTTTTTCAACATTGTATGCTAATTGCTTTTATTTCTTGAAAAACAATAGTTCTCAGCAGAGAAGTTTCTTTTTTTAAAAATAATATATTATTTTTATTTTATGAATATTGCCTTCATGGAAGAGCACCCATGTTATGCAATGCCCATTTAAGCCAGAAGAGGGTGTCAGATCCCCTGGAACTGGAGTTATGGACAGTTGTTACCTACCATGTGGGTGCTGGGAACTGAACCCAGTTCCCTCTGGAAGAACAGCAAGTATTCTGATAAGCCATTTCTCCAGCCCTCTTTTTTTTAAAAAACAAAAACAAAAAACAAAACAAAAAAAAACAACCCCTCAAAAAACCCTACAGAAGCAAACAAATGAAACAAAAACTAAAGATTTCTTACACTGTCTTGATGCTTCTTCAGTTTGGAGATTTGCTCTCCTTTGATTTCCATTTTCTTCACTAATTGCTCTAGCTCTTGGTCGATGTCATCACAGACTAAATGGCTTCCAGTTTGTTTCATTTGTTGTAGTAGTTCCTTGTGTTCCCTTTGAAAGAAAAGCAAACAGGGCTTGGGGATGTAACTCAGTGATAGAGTGTTTATCTGGCTTGTCAGCCACTAGCAACACAATGATGATGATGATAAAGTAGTATTTCTGACACATGGATACTACTTTGCATGATAAAAAGGAAAAACAAGAAAATATCAAGAATTTTTATAGATCACAGTTTGCCATAACTAACTTTTCTGTTCAACCATAAATTTTAGAATAAAATACTGATTTTCAGAAATAGTCTCTAGCATTAGGGTTATATAACTAAATCATGATAAACATAACCAGACTTTTGTCATTTGAGATTGGATACATTTAGAAATATCTCAATCTCTGGCTGCTAAACAACCTAAAAAACCCTAAATTCTTGATGTTGACAGCTAAATATAGTAAAGAATTCTATGGTTCTAGGCCAGAGAAATACAAGGTTCTTTATCAGTTCTAACTCTGGAATTTTAAATACTCTCAATAGAACAGTTATATGTTCTACAGCAGTTTATCAGTCAATAATCTGTCTAGTCAAATCACATAGTTCTGAAATTTTTGCTGAAAATATATTTAAACATGGGGTATAATATAATGAATCCCATTCAGAATCTTCCTTACTGTGGATACTTCCAAATTGGCAATGACTAGGCAGACTAGGCAGAGTCTAAAATAAGGAATTATATTCCTAACTGCCTAATGAAATCATTCATTAAACTAAAAGATTCTAAAAACAAAAGGTGTACTTACTTTATAAAAGCTCTTCTGAGTTTTAAGCAAAGGTTACCTGATTTTATACATTTGAATCATAGTAATATTTGCCTATCAGTCCAGGTCTTGGGAATACAGAAGGGTAGCAATTAGACATGGTTTAAATATAAAAATAATAAATCTGTGCATCAAAAAATAACATAAATAGATAAAATCTTAAGAATTTATAGGTGGGGGCTGGAGAAATGGCTTAGGGGTTAAGAGTGTGTACAGGACCAGAGATGGGTTCCCAGCACCCATACTGGCTCACATTTGTAACTCCAGCTCTAGGGGATCCAAGTCCTCTTCTGGACGGATCCCAAAGGCATCTGTATTCATGTGCACATGCTTTTTCCCTCGTGTACACATAATTTAAAAAAATATTAAAAATAAATCTTAAAAAATAGGTAGCACTGTTCTTCAAGATAAGAAGGAAAAAATGATACCTAAATATCTATAGTTACTCCCAATAATAAAAATACTTGCTGGGCATGTGGCACACGCCTTTAATCCCAGAACTTGTGAGGCAGAGGCAGGCGGATCTTTGTGAGTTCGAGGCCAGCCTGGTCTATATAGTGGGTTCCAGGACAGCTGGGGCTACAGGGAGACCCTGTCTGAAACACACACACACACACACACACAATACTTACAAACTCATTTGGTCCAGCTCATCTTGCATTGCCACCAAAAGTTCAGACAAATTGTCACAAATGGAAACAGGCCTTTCTGAGTTACGAGGTATGGCTTTACATTGAGAAGTCCCTCTGAGAGGCTTGTAGAGACACCTAGCCTCAGTGACTTCAGCAGGTTTCTGAAGGCTATATGGCCCACAGTGATGTACCATTTGCAGAAGGTTTTGCAAGTTTGCATTCACAGAACAGCCTGCACTGACCAACTTGAAGGAAAAGAAATAGCTAAGCATAAATTTAAATGACAGTAATAAATAGCATTTACAAATAAAGTACTTTTTAAAATTTAAAAATAACCATGTTCATTATTATCTTCTCACCTTTTCACTCTCAGAAGATGGTGCTCTAAACTTTGAATACATTTGCTGAGGTGGTCCTTTTTTAAAATATTTAGTTTTCTAAAGATTGACAAGGGGAAAAGTAAACAAATTATTTTACAATACATGTATGATATGAAAACCTCAAAACTCAACAGTAAGTGCTATTTGAATGTAGGCAGCAGATTTAAATAAACATTTCACTGGAGAAGACAAACAAATGGTAAGCAAGCATATGGTCAATATCCTTACTATTAAGGAAATGCAAGTTAATTACAATGAAACATCACTGCATACCTATTAAAAATGAAAAAACACTGGTGATGCCAAATATTGGCAAGGATGAAGAAAAACTACATTACTCACATATTGGTGTAGCCACTTTGGAAGACAACTTGGCAGTTTCTTATAAAGTGAAACATTTACTTATTATAGACCTAATAATTGCACCCTTGGAGAATTGTCATAGAGAAATAAAAACTGGCATTCACACAGAAACCTGTATGTACATGCACACAGCGGTTTTATTTGTAATAGCCCCAAACTAGCAGCAACCCAAATATCCTTAAACACATGACTGGTTAAACTGCAGTGGATTCTTAGTATGGACTAGTATACAGAAATAAAATGAATATAATATTGATATACGCAACAACTTATATACAGAACTCAAGGGGGAAAAAGGTAATCCCAAAAGGTTCAAATTATACAATTCTATTTGCATAACTTATTTTTCTTCTTAGGACAGGGTCTCACTATGTAGGCCAGGTTGGTCTCAAAATCATGGCAATTCTCTTGTTTCAGATGATAGTCATGTGCTACCATGCCTGGCTATACAACATTCTTGAAATAACAAAACTGCAGAGATGAAGACAGCAGAGGTTGCTGAGCCCAGGGTAAAGGATGTGTGGTTATGAAAGAATTATGTGAAGAAGCCTTCTAAGGGGGGAACAGTTTTGTGTCTTGGTTGTTGTGATGGCTACATGAATCTGCATATATACGAAGTAGATATAAATCTCTCACACTACTCTCAGTTATCATGAGGACTGTACCTCCAGTGATTGTCCCTACTCTTCTTAGAAGCTTTTAATGGTTCCCAACTGTTTATAAAGTAAAAGTTCAATTTATTTTTCGGACAGGGTCTGTTTCCCAGGCCTGCCTGAAATTTACTATGTAGCCCAGGTTGGTCCTGAACACCGAATCCTCCTGCCTTAGCCTCCTGAGTGCTGGTATAAATAGGTATGTATCACTGCACTGCTGTCCCCAACTTCAAAAGTTCAAATCCTTTTGTTTTGGTCTCTTTGAGACAGGGTCTCCCTGTGGTCCCCAGCTGGCCTGAACTCGCTGTGTAGACCAGGCTGGCCTTGATTGCACAGAGATCCACCTACAACTGGCTCTTGAGTGCTGGGATTAAAAGCGTGCACCACCACACCCAGCTCCAAAAGTTCAAATTTTTGGCACTAAAGGTCAGTCTATGCAAATAAAATATACGAGTTGAATACTCAACTAAGGATATGGACACACAGTGTTAGAGATAAGCAGGTCTCTTATAGATAACTCTTGAAATCTGATCCCACCTTCAGTAACTTTAGAGTTCCTTCTGTCTTTAAAAGGAAACATCACTATTTGTATACTCTATGAACTTGGGATTTGAACTAGTACTTTTATAAAAGTGACTCTGCTATTAATTACTCTCTTCTCTTTCAGAAGCTACCGTTTCTTTCTGCTTTCCCTTTATCTCCTCTTAAGGTTTTTATAGTAAACATGTAAACTTAAAATTACACTAATTTATCAGATAAAAAGAGGCCATAGAACTAACATTTTATAAAAGTTATCATTTGATCCACTTGCAATTTTTTGTTTATTTGTGTTTTTGAGACATGGTCTCCCTGTAGCTTTAGCTGGCCTGGAACGCACTATGTAGACCAGACTGGCCTTGATCTCATAGTGGATCCACCTGCCTCTGCCTCCCAAGTGCTGGGATTACAAGCATGTGCCATCACACCTGGGTCACTTGAAAATTATTTATAGCATTTTTCTATTTGGATTTCCAGCTCAATCATTACTAAATAAAACATAAATTAAGGATATAACTATAAAAATGAAAACATTTAAAACATTATAGTTATAAAATCGCTTTCTTTCTTTTACCATTTTTGGGTGTATATACTCATGTTTGCATGTGTGTGGGAATGTGTCTATGTGGGGGTGGTGCATGTGTATGTGTATGTGTATACATGTGGAGGCCCAAGTTTGATGTTAAGAATCATTCTCCATTACTCTTCCACCTTATTCATTGAGGCAAGGTCTTTAGTCAAACCCAGAGCTCATCAGTATGACTGATCTCCCTAGTTAACTTGCTCTGTGGATTCCTTATGTCTACCTTCTAAGATTGGAATTACAAGTGGGCCATCAAGACCACCCAGCATTTAAGTGGGTTTTGGGAACCTGGACTCTAGTTCTCTTGCTTTTGGTGCAACTGCTTTAACCACTGAGATATCCCCCAAACTCCCAATGTAGTTATAAAATTCTTTTAAAAAAAATTATGAAGGGTTGGGTGTGTGGTGGTGCACACCTTTAATCTTAGCACTCAGGAGGCAAAGGCAGGTAGATCTCTGTGACTTTGAGCTAGCCTAGTCTAATAACAAATCCCAGGCCAGTCAGGGCTATGTATTAAAAAGAAATTATGAAGGCATCAGCGATGGCTCAGTATGATAAAGGCACTTGCTGACAAACCTAAATTCAATCCCTGGAAGACACATGGTAGAAGGAGAGAACCAACTTCTCTAAGTTGTCCTCTGACCTTCACATACTTGTTATGGCATGAACACATAGAGACACACACAGACAACGTTAAAAAAAAAGCTAGGTGTGATGATACATGCTTGCCATTCTGGCACCCAGGAGGTTTTGAAGCAAGAGGCTTGAATTCCAGGTCAGCTTATGGTACATGGCAGGTCTGAAGCCAGCCTAGGCTACTAGCGTAACCCTGGCTCAATACTAACCAATACAAAAATACTTGTTTTTACTGTATACGTATTTATATAAAACGGTATTTAAGACTTTTTATGTTGTTAGAATCTATTGCATTGTTCAGTATCCCTTTCAAGTTTTTTGTTTTGGATTTCTTTTTTTTTTTTTTTTTTTTTTTTTTTTTTTTTTGACTTGTTTTTTTGAGACAGGGTCTTACTGTGTAGCCTGGGCTGGCCTAGAACATACTGTGTACATCAGGCTGACCTCAAATGCAGAGCTCCACCTGCCTCCATCTCCTGAGTGCTAAGGTTAAAGGTATGTACCACCATGATTAATTTACTACCCTACCCTTCTAAACAATTCACAAAATACATTTGCTAAGAGTTTAACACTAGAAAAATGATTGCTTTTCTATAAAACCTGGGCTGTTTACTGATACACACATCACCGTGCTGCCCAATACATGTTCTTTTTTATTTTGATTTTCAAGCAAACCGAGAGCTAAGTTTTGTACTCTATTGATATTACTTTCTCTAGCCTAGATTTTATGGACTTTTCTATCCTTACACCCCAAACCAACATTATTCAACTCATATCTTGACATCACTGCATGTCTTTTATCACAAATTGTCTTCTAAGCCTCTCCGGAAACAGGTAGAGATAAGATAAGAGGGTAAATAAATATGTCCAGAAAGTAAGAAAGTGTATGGGAAAAAGTCGTATAAGCATACCTTTGATGGTTTCTTTTCCTTCCAGTATTTTGAATTTGAAACTGAGGACATTAAAATTTTGCTGATTTCAAGTCCAGTTTGAAGCTATAATATTAAAAAAAATTCACAAAACTAATCTATAACAAGTTTCTTTCTACATAATGAAAGATGTGCCCTCAGTTTTTAAGTATAAGATACTTTTTGAGAGTCAAGCATTGTGCAGTCCCAGTTACTTCGAGGAGGTTCAGGCAGAAGAATTATATGAGCCCAGGAATTCAGAGCCTTCTGGGCAGCCAGAGCAAGAATCCATGTTGAAAAAGAAAAGAAATAAAAACAAAACAAAACAAAAAATCCAAAACCTTTTTTTTCATATTTTTTAAGATTAAAAAAAAATTTTAATAACTACATGATTAGAAGCATTTCATTACAACCTTAACATATTCAGTAACGCACTCCAGAACAAGAGTACATCTCTTTCACAAGTGGCTATAAGTTTCTAGGTTCACAGTTGAAATAATACAGTTAAACAATATTGAACTCAGTATAAGCCCTGAAAGACATAAAATTGAATGAGTTTTTAACCTTTAAAAAAGAAATGAAATGGAGATTTCATTTTAGAATATATTGTTCCTTGCAGAAAGACTCATTGTTTTTGCTAGTAACACTGAGATTGGTGCATGCATCTCTAATCAGTATGTATATGACTATTACTAGTCATAATCGGTTGCACTTGTACCCACTGCTCTATAAAGTCATTGGGTAGATTTCAATGGTAATGTTTATCACCTCTACTAATTAACATGATGTGAATTTCCACGCTTCCTCCTCAAATGTAATACATTTTTAAAAATTTGTTGATTTTGTGTGTGTGTGAATATCACATAGAACATCCCAAACCATCTTATTCAACTATACACCCACTTCCCAGATGGCAACCTCCCATAACCTCCCTTCCCCAGCTACAGCCCTTATACTCTGTTATCCCTGCTACTGTCTGCTGTGTTGTCAGCACCCCCAGCCATTCCCCACTACTTGTCCATCTGGTGAATATAGGCAGCCTATCTAGAGGTCTTTGTTTTAGGAAAGTCAGCTGTTCTTCATCTACCAGCAATCGGTTGTCAATATTCCTTTAGATAAGATTGGGGTCTGCTGTTCATTTTCCCAGTTCTATGCTGGGTTACTATCTGAGACTCCCTTTGGCCACCCTGGCCAACAACTCAAAAGAAGGTATCTCCTGTCTGGCATTGTTGCTTGTTATGTAGCCTTTAGCTATACATACGGACTCTTAAAAAATTATACTGGCCCCTTTACTCTTGGGTTATACTTTTCTTTTGGGTGTTTAAGGCCATAGAGTTGGCCCAGATAAACCAATTTATTTTTACTCTTAAGGGCATTTGAGGATCTGTTCCTCAGGGGTCACATGGGTTTGGGAGGAGCCCCTGGATCCTTTCTTTTACCAGTTCCGCCTATGTGAAGATAAGTCAAAGGTCATGCTCGACCATGGCTGGCTTCGCTTGGAAGCGTTGAGGACATGATTCCTCTGTGTTGACACCTCTTTGTAGACTGGACACTGGTTCAAGTCCATCTGGTGGGGTCTCCTCGGCCTCCTTGATCAAGAGGACAGGTGACCCACCACAATTACAGGACATTTTGAGAGATGCTCATAGTCCCCAGGAATTAGCCGATCTAGGAGTGCAAGGAGCAAAAACTGTCCTTTATGTCCCTCTGGCCAAATTATTATAGGCCTCAAAGTATGTCTGTTAAACATCCAAGGTTAGTTCCACCAGTCTGGTACATTTAATTACTGTGTGTCATGTACATAAATCTTGGGCAAAGACCAATTGTTCTCAGATAAACCTTACTTAGATATATATTTCTTGATCTGCTATGTATAATTTGTCAGTAGGTTGGAGTAATATGGTTCCCTCTGGTTTTTAAAACTAGCTAGGTAGCCAGGCGTGGTGGTGCATGCCTTTAATCCCAGCACTCAGGAGGCAGAGGCAGAGGCAGAGGCAGGCGGATCTCTGTGAGTTCAAGGCCAGCCTGGTCTATATAGTGAGTTCCAGGACAGCTGGGGCTACAGGGAGACCCTGTCCCAAAAAAGACCAAAAAAAAAGGCAAAACAAAACTAGCTAGGCATTATTTATCTTTCGCATTGTCTAACCCCTCCATCATGGTTTCCCCACTTAAGATGCCCCCATTTCCCCCTTTTCCCTTACTAATACCCTTCTGCTATGGTCTTACCTCTCTTGAGCTCCTTCTTTCCCTTTATCCCCTAGGTTCCTTGTATACCCTTTCCTCCCCCTCCCTTAAACTAACCCAATTTTTAATTCATATCTCCCTTATTCAGGCCTGTTTCCTACTGTTCTTCTCTTTCAGGTTCTTTCTTTTCCTTTACCTCCCTGTTTCCTTTCCATTATCCTGGTTCCTGTGAGTATGTCTGCATACATACTCACTTATCAGGGTTTGGTTCTAGGATCCACATATGAGGGAGAACGTATGTCAATTTTTTTTCCTGAGTCTATGTTACTTCATTTAGTATACGAGTTTCTAGTTCCATCCATTTACCTGCAGATTTCATGATCTCATCTTTACTGCTGAGTAAAACTCCATCGTATAAATGAACCACATTTTCATTATCCACTCATCAATTGAGGAACACTTAGGTTGCTTCCATCTCTTAGCTATTGTGAAAAGAGCAGCAACAAACATGGATGTACAAGTGTCTCTGCAATAGCATGAGTTCTTTGGGTATATGCCAAGGAGTGGTATAACTGGGTCAAATGGTAGGTTCATTTGTAGTTTTCAAAGAGTTCTTCACACTGATTTCCCTAGGAATTGAACAAGTTTGCAGCCCCACCAGCAGTGGATGAGTGTTCCCCTTTCTCCACATCCTCTCCAACATTTGGTATCATTTGATCACTAGATCTTAGCCAGTCTGATTGGGGTAAGATGCAATCTTAAAGTGGTTTTAATTTGCATTTCCCTAATTATTAGTGATGTTGAACATGTTTTAAGATGCTTCATAGCCATCTTTACTTCTTCTTTTGAGAAATCTATGTTCAGCTCCTTAGCCCATCTTTTAATGGGGTTACTTGTTGTCTTGATTCTGTTTTTTGAGTTCGTTATATATTCTGGATGTTAAACGTCTGTAAGATGTGTTGCTGTTGAAGATTTTCTCCCATTCTGTGGGTTTTCTGTTCACTTCCCTGGTTGCCTCCTTTGATGGACAGAAGCTTTTTAGTTTAATGAGGTCCCATTTGTTAATTCTTGTCCTTGTTTCCTGAGCAATTGATGTCCAGTTCAGAAAATCCTTTCCTACACCTACATCTTGTAGGTTTTTCCCAATGTTTTCTTCTAAGAGTTTCAGCATTTCAGGCTTTACATTGAGGCCTTTGATACATTTGGAATTGACTTTTGTGCAGGGTAAAACATAGGGGTTTAGTTTCATTCTTCTACAAGTGGCGATCCAGTTTTGCCAGCACCATTTGCTGAACATGCTGTCTTTCCTCCAGTTAATGTTCTTGGCCCCTTGGTCAAACATCAGGTGGCTGAAATTGCATTTACTCATATTTGGGTCTTCAATTTTGTGCTATTGATCTATGGGTCTATTTTTGTGCTAGTACCATGTTGTTTTTATGACTATAGCTCTGTAATACAGCTTAAAATCTGGTACAGTAATCCCCCCCCGGAATTGCTCTTAGTGCTCAGGGTTGCTTTGGCTATCCGAGGTCTTTTGTGCTTCCAAATGAATCTTAAGATGAGGTTTTTCCAATGCTGTGAAAAATGTCATGGGGATTTTGATTGGCATTGCATTGAATCTATATATGACTCTTGGTAGGATGGTCATTTTCACAATATTAATTCTTCCAATCCATGAGCATGGGAGGTCCTTCCATCTTCTGATGTCTTCCTCAATCTCTTCCTTTAAAGATTTAGAATTTTCATTGCAGAGCTCTTTAATGGTTTTGGTAGGATTTATTCCAAGATATTTTTTTTCTGCATCTGTTGTGAAGGGGAGTGTTTCCATGTGCTCTTTCTGTGATTGCTTGTTATTGGTATATAGAAAGTCTACAGACTTTTGAAGGTTAATTTTGTAACCTGCCACTTTACTGAATGTGTTAATCATTTCTAGGAGTTTTCTGGTAGAATTTTTGGTGTCTCTTAGATATAATATCATATCATCTGCAAAAAAAGGGGTATGTTCTCTCCAGTCTAATTCCCTCTAGGACTTTGAACATAAATGCATGCTGAATTTTGTCAAAAACCTGTTCTGCATCTATTGAAATGACACTGTGGTTTTTGTCTTTGAGTCATGATTAATGACCTTTATTGACTTTCATATATTGAACCATCCCTGCATTTCTGGGATAAAGCCTACTTGATCATGGTGAATGATCTTTTTCATGTGTGTCTGTATGCAGTTTGCAAGTATTTTTGTTGAGAATTTTTGCATCTATGTTCATTAAGGTTATGGGTCTATAGTTTTCTTTTTTGGCTGTATCTTTACCTGGCTTTGGTATTAGAGGGATGCTGGCTTCATAGAAGGAATTTGGAATTTCTCCTTCTATTTCTACCTTTTTGAATAAATTAAGTAGTATTGTATGTAGATCTTCTTTAAATGTCTGATAGAATTCTGTTGTAAATCCATCTGGTCCTTGGGGTTTTTTAGTTGGGAGGTTTTGTGTTACTGTTTAAATTTCTTTTTGTGTTATGGGTCTACTTAAGCTGTTAATCTCTTCTTGGTATAGTTTTAGTGGTTCCCATGCCTTTAGATATCTGTCCATTTCTTTTAGGTTTTCAAATTTTGTAGCATATAGGTTTTTAAAGTATTCCCTTATAATGTTCTGTATCTTTCTGGTGTCTGTTGTGATGTTTCCCG